CTAATATCAATACAATACACTAACATCACTACAAAACACTAATATCACTACAATACACTAATATCACTACAATACACTAACATCAACAATACACTAACATCACTACAATACACTAATAACACTACAATACACTAACATCACTACAATGCACTAATCAATACACTAACATCACTGCAGTACACTAATATCACTACAATACACTAACATCACTACAATACACTAACATCAATACACTAACATCACTACAATACACTAAAATCATCAATGCCCTAAAATCAATACAATACACTAACATCAATACAATACACTATCATCAATACAATACACTAACATCATCAATACAATGCCATGCACGAGCAGTGGGGTTTTCTGGAACATGAAAGACACTCGCACCGATCACACAACGTCAAAGTAAAACTCCCGTCCACGAAATATCCCACACGACGCTGGTGCTGAAACGCCATGCAAAAGTAAAAGACCACATTTACATAACAGCGCGCAATAGCGTCCTGACAATACAAAAATTAGCGGGGACAATCCACACACAAAAACACACAAGCACACACACACACACATATATAAACACCCTTCCTCGCCAACACCCGGTGTGATTGTGCACACGGCTCTCGTGGCGTGAGCAGCCACACAAGACGACTCCCGCAACGAAAGGCAACGTCTAAGTCGTCCGCTGCCGTGATCAATCCACTGCTGGATGAAGGAGCCCCCCCCCTCCCCACCCACCAACACCACCACCAACTTTGCTGCCATATAAACGTCGACACGTGTCGCAATCTAAAACGAAGGGAGCGATGTGCAGTACTGAGCACGTCCATCAAATGCATGCAAACAGACGTACACATACATACAGCATATAGGCTACACTTACATACTAATGTAGAACACACTGCGTTCACGTGTACGCGTATGAACGCATCGTACACACAGACACTACATACGCATGTACACAGATGCATAACACACATGATATACGCAAACATATATAACCAAAGACAAAGACACTCCGTATAGCCTCTAACAGACTGTTGGGGCAAGTGATGTTAGCGAGTCGCACCTATGCAGGCTGGAACAGCACACGAGGGAGTGGGTGGCCAGCACCACGCCCGGACGCCTTTGTCTCCCCAGTGGCGATGTTTACACGCCGCATTAAGTACTGATTTAAGGCTGAGTCGACCTAGGAGGGGCCCACAATCGTTGGCAAAACCCGTTTCAAATATTTCTCGCCAGCGGATGTCATTTTGCCGGCCGCGACTCCAACTCAGTCCGGATTCGTAGCGCGGTGCGCTAACCGCTGCGCCACCGCTCCCACTCACACGCTCTTACACGGTGGTGTAGGCACGGCATCAGACATCACCCAGGGTTCACAAACTCAGCAATAGGAAACACTATTATACGCGTAGATTAATGTTTCACGTTCTTTATTCACTTTATTTTATAAACGACTGCGCGCAGAGCCATTACTGTGCATTACTCTGTTGTAGCGGATGCACCCACACATAGACACAATATCGAATGTTTGGTTAATAGGCGCGGCGTGTGTGTTGACTCCGTGTGTGTGTGTGTCTGTGTGCGAGTGTGTCTGTGCGTGCGCGTGTCTGTCTGCTTGTGACTTTGTGTGCGCGTGTCTGTGTGTGCGTGTGTCTGTGTGTGCGTGTGTCTGTGTGTGCGTGTGTCTGTCTGTGGGGAGCGATAGTGTAGCGGTTAGCGCGCTGCGCTATGAACCTGGCGACCCGGGTTCGATTCCCGCTCACGGCCAACACCAGTGACGATTATCTGAACCGGTCCCGGGCCTCCCCTAGGTCGACTCAGCCTCAAATGAGTACCTGGTGCGGTGTGTAAACATTGCCACTAGGGAGACAAAGGCGGTCGGGCGTGGTGCTGGCCACCCACCCCCTCGTGTACCGTTCCGGCCTTCATAGGTGCTCGCTAACAGCACTTGCCCCTACAGTCTGTTAAGGCTATATGGGGGATCTTTATCTTTGTGTTCTGTCTGCCTGTGACTTTGTGTGCGCGTGTGTCTGTGTGTGCGCGTGTGTCTGTGTGTGCGTGTGTCTCTGTGTGTGCGGTGTGGCGGTTAGCGCTCAGCGTTACGAACCCGGCCACCCGAGTTCGATTCGCGCTCACGACCAATAACAGTGGCGGATATTTTAACTGGTCCTGCTGCTGTGTGTCTCCTTTAGGTAGACTCAGCATTAAGTGAGGGCCTATTTCAGTGTATAAACATCGACATTGGGGAGACAAAGGCGGCCGGACGTGGTGGTGGTCACCCACCCCATCGTGTGCCGTGCCGGCCTCCATAACAGCACTTGCCCCAACAGTCTGTTAAGGCTATACGCGGGATCTTTGTCTCTGTGTTTGTTTGGCTGTCCGCCTTGCTGCGTGTGGGGAGCGGTGGCGTAGGGGTAAGTGCATTGCGCTACGAACCCGGCGAACCAAGTTCGATTCCCGCTCACGGCCAACACACGTGACGATTGTCTGAACCGATCGTGGGCATCCCCTAGGTCGACTCAGCCTCAAATAAGTACCTGGTGCGGTGTGTAGCAAACATCGCCACTAAGGAGACAAAGGCGGCCGAGTGTGGTTCTGGCCACCCACCCCCTCTGTTAAGGCTACACGGGGGATCTTTGTATTTTTGTTATAGGAATGCTTGGAACGGTGGTCCAGTAGTGGTCAACGCACTGCCTTGAACCAAACCACGTTAAGTTCCATTCCCGGCAAATAGTTGCTCCCTAACATCACTTCGCCCGTGTTGTTTGACCGACTGAAGCAGTTAGTCCGTATTATAATTGAGCGAATTTTAAATATATATTATTATAATTATTCGCGCTGTTAGCGAGCACCTATTAAGACCGACACGGTCCTTCAGCGCTGATTAATTTAACGAAGCACTACAGGTACCCATTTTAGGCTGAGTCGACCTAGGAGAGGCTCGTCTCCGGTTCTGACTTCTCTTGGCACTGAAGTGAGCCGCGATCGGGAATCGAACTCACACTTCACAGTTTTCATGGGTGGATTTTTTTTAGCACAATTATAATCGAGTGTGCGTGTATTTAAATCGACAACCCAATTACTATTGCCATCATACATAAAGACACATATAAAGATTCCCCGTATAGCCTTAATAGACTGTTGGGGCAAGTGCTGTTAGCGAGCACCTATGGAGGCCGGCACGGTACACGAGGGGGTGGGTGGCCAGCACCACGCCCGGCCGCCTTTGTCTCCCTCGTGGCGATGATTTTACACACCGCACAAGGTACTCATTTGAGGCTGAGTCGACCTCGGGGAGGCGCAGGATCGGTTCAGATAATCGTCACTGGTGTTGGCCGTGAGCTGGAATCGAACTCGAGTGCGCCGGGTTCATAGCGCAGCGCGCTGAGCGCTACACCAGCGCTCCCCACACACCACCACCACCAACCACACGAAAGCCACTCCTCTAGAGTGTGACGCTCATGCCGGTAGAAAGCGAACCAGTCGCGGAGCCCTGTAAATGGTTACCGGTTTAACACTCACGCAAAATAGTACGACAACAATCATACACACACGTAATACACACAATACACAACGGACAATAGCTGGAATTCCAGTTATTCTTATTAAATAAACACCCACGCTTATTAAATAAACACCCACGCTCACTCACAACACACACACCACACACACAACACACCACACACACAACACACACACAACACACCGCACACACAACACACACCACACACACACAACACACACACAACACACACAACACACACACACAACACACACCACACACACACAACACACACAACACACACACAACACACACCACACACAACACACACACACCACACACCCCACACACACCCCACACAAGACACACCACACACACACACACCACACACACACCACACACCACACACACAACACACAACACACCACACACACCACACACACACAACACTCACACAACACTCACACAACACTCACACAACACACACAACACACACACACCACACACACACACCACACACACACACACCACACACACACCACACACACAACACACACACACAACACTCACACAACACTCACACAACACTCACACACCACACACACACCACACACACCACACACACCACACACACCACACACACACCACACACACAACACACAACACACCACACACACACAACACTCACACAACACTCACACAACACACACAACACACACACAACACACACAACACACACACCACACACACCTACACCACACACACCACACACACACAACACACTGCATCAGTTGCCTCACCTTTAGACACGTGCTCCTCGCACCTGCGCCTCTCTCCCCATTGGCTAGCGGCTGCTCGCGAGCCCCGCCCCCTCCCCCCTCCGTTAATGAAGGGGGCGGAGCCATGTTCATTAGGAGCCAGCCAATCGCGTGGCGCCAATCCCGAACCTCGCCTCGTCTCTACAATCAGCGGTGGGTCGCAGTGGGGGCGGTGGGTGGCGGTGACTTCGCATGGGGCGGGCGGAGGAGTTGGTGGACTCCTCTGTGATGGGTGGAGGGGGCGGGGAGGTGGGTGGGAGACGGGGGGAGGGGGTGTCACTCGCACACCCGATGCGTGCGCTCGTCTGCGGCGTGCCAGTGTAGGTGCACGCGCAGCGGCAAGGAGGGCGTGCAGGCTAGAGGCTCTCTCACAGCGGCAGACGCGAGGAGAGAGAGAGAGCGAGAGAATTACTTTTGGCAAAGTGGCTATGATTGGTTACGGTTATTGTAGCGGTATCACACGCGCAAGTGCGTTCGAGTCGTAGTGCCCAGTCCGCAAGGCACACACACACACAGAGACACACACAGAGACACACACACAGAGACACACACACGACACACACACACACAGAGACACACACACGACACACACACACAGACACACACACACAGACACACACAGAGACACACACGACACACACACGACACACACACAACACACACACAGAGACACACACACAGACACACAGAGACACACACAGAGACACACACAGAGACACACACACACACGCGCGTGCAGTGATGTTATGCGCATTTATTTTTTAAAGGGTTAGATTGTTGCAGGACGACTCCGGGTTCTTGTCGACGCCGTGAGCTACAGTCGTACTATTGTCGTGAGGCTGATAGCAGCATTGTAGTGGCGTCGTGCGGATACACGCGGGTAGCAACGCGCCGCTTTAACACAACTCCTGCCCGCTGCCTGCGAGCGCTGAAGTTTGCTTCTAAAAGTTGAGCCGCGAAGTTGCGCTGAACACTAAGACCGCCGCGACCACCACCACCACCAGCACGACCACCAGCACGACCACCACCACCACCAGGACCATCACCACCACCAGGACCATCACCACCACCAAGACCATCACCACCAGGACCATCACCACCGCCAGCAGCAGCAAACAGGTCGAAGAGGAACTGTTGGCATTCGAAACCGCGCCAGGATGTCCAAAGCGGCGGACCACGTGAAGCGGCCCATGAACGCCTTCATGGTGTGGTCGCGAGGCCAGCGGAGGAAGATGGCCCAGGAGAACCCCAAGATGCACAACTCTGAGATCTCCAAGCGTCTCGGCGCCGAGTGGAAGCTCCTCACCGAGGCCGAGAAGAGGCCCTTCATCGACGAGGCCAAGCGGCTGCGCGCCCTGCACATGAAGGAGCACCCCGACTACAAGTACCGGCCGCGCCGCAAGCCCAAGTCCCTGCTCAAGAAGGACCGCTACGCCTTCCCCCTGCCCTACCTGAGCGAGGCGGAGCACCTGAAGGCTGCCGCCTCGCTCCACGGAGCCCAGCCGGGCTCGGCAGCAGCCGCGGCCGCCGCCGCCGCGGCCGCTACGGCGGAGTCGCTCCTCGCCGCGTCGGAGAAGGCTCGCTCCTTCCTGCAGGGCGGTCCGCACGCAGGCCACTACTCGCTGCTGCAGGACCACCACCACCACCACAACCACCACCACCTCTCCAAGATGAACGAGGTCACCTCGTCGCTGGGTGCGGCGGCCGCGGCTGCGGCGGCTGCCGCGTTCCCGTACGCGGGGCTCAACGGCTACGGCACCGGCGCCTTCAGCCCGCAGCACACGCACACTCACGCCTCGCCCGGGAACCCCGGCTACATGATCCCCTGCTCGTGCCCGGCGTGGCCGCCCAGCTCGGGCCTGCAGCCGCCGCTGGCGTACATCCTCCTGCCCGGCATGGCCAAGGCTGGACTGGAGCCCTACGCGAATCATCACGGTGCCGCGCTCTGAGTCGTCCGTCCGGCCGAACGCCTTAGCGGGCGGAATGTTTGTGAGGAAGTGAGCAGGCTGCATGGTCGGATGATGATGATGATGATCGTGATGATGATCGTGATGATGATGGTGATGATGATGGTGGTGGTAGTGGTAGTGGTGGTGGAAATCCGTCCGTCCCTTTCGCAAAGGAGGGAACTCAAGGGGAGGATGGGGAGGGGATGGACGTCTCGCGAGCGAACTGGAGTCGAACTGTGGCACAAGTGAGCTGAGAGCGCGGTGGTGGCGACGGGTGAGCGGTGCGGTGTGGCGAGGGGTGTCGGTGAGCCCGGCTCTACGGGGTTAAGCACTTTAAGAGCAGGGGATGGCGCGCGAGTGTCTCGGTCCCAAGTGTGGAGGCTGCTCAGCCCGCGTTCTCGTCTCGGCTCTCCTCTCTGCGTCTCAACGCGCACGCGGCTCCTTGCCAATCCACTGCTGGATGACGGCCTCCCCCTCCTCGCCCCCCCCTCCTCCTCCCCACCACACCGATTCGCCATACTTCACCCCAAAAACGAAGAGGAATCGCGTCAATAGTTACGGCCCTCTCTGCACGGTGGGACGTAACTCTCTCCGCCCCCTGTATTTGAAAGCGTTTAGGGTGCGTCTTATAATCCCAGAAGTGTTTGCTGGTAACCGGATTCGTACAATTACTGGAATGCGTCTTACTGTCCGAAGGGTCTTATCGTGCGGGGAATACGGCAATGACTCTTACAATTACGTTCGGGTTATGTTAAGGAATCAATTGGCTTAGCGCTGCAGTAAAAACAACACCAATTGCGTTCATCATCGTTTTAACTCCACTTCATCGCTATCACTATAACGAACGCGTTTTAATTATTCAAAGGAAGATTCTGGCAAAAGTTTGCGAAGCTCTTAATATCTTTCATCTTCTACTGTCTTAATTATTATGGGTATTGGTTGTATTGTTATTGTTGGGGCAATGCGTGTTGGTTGTTTGGTACTCAGAGTCGATTCAACGTGATTTGTGTTTCCAAATGTCTTCCTAATCACCATCGTCATGATCATCAATGTCTCAGTCATCATCGCGATCATAATCATCTCCAGAATATCCGTTGGTTTTATCATCATCACCATCATCATCACCATCATCATCATCACCACCTCTTCTGTTGGAATGCTGATTCATGTGTTCTTTAAACTGTCGAGAGCATTGTTTAGTCGTCATCAGCCATGATCAATCCACTGCTGGACGTGCGCTTACGCAAGCATCGCCGCCGTCGTTAAGTTGTCACATTCTTCCCTTTACTGGACATCACGACTATGATAATTACTACAAATAGAGGGTGGAGCGGTGGCGCAGTGATTAGCGCCTCTGCTGCTGCTGCGAAGCACGCGACTTGAGTCCTTAGAAACGGCTGAGATCAGCGGGGAGAGACATCCGAACTGATCCCCGGCGATGCCTCCGACCCCCGGCGCTCAGCCGGCCGGCACTGACCGGCGGTCGTGAGTTTTGGTGAATGCCAGGGCTCTGGTCGTCGTGAAGCCGACGAGGCGTCTCGAGGCCCTCGTCCGGCAGTGGATCGGCCAAGGGACTCGGAGCGAGGAGCCCGAGCGAGCGGTCCTTCTCAGAGCCCCTCTGTCCATGCGAGGGTCACTCGGCGCAAATCCATTTCTCGCGGTGGCCCTCACCAAACCCCTTCCCCCCCTCATCGTGGAAATTCCACATTCGCGTGGCCTGGAGGTTGGGGTTACGGATAGTCGTGATTTTTTAGTCTCGCGATGTCTCACGGCCGCGTTTAGACTTCCCGCAGCGCGGTGCTCGTTTTATACCGCCCCGCCGTGATGATGGGTCGAGGCGACCTCTGTCTGGCTGGCGAGCTCCTCCTGTGGCTGCAGCCGTGACGGCGGCGGTGCGGGTGGCGTTGGACTCGGTTGTAGTTTGTACCACCCCTGTCACCACCCCTGTCACCACCCTTGTCACTACCCCTGTCACCACCCTTGTCACCACCCTTGTCACCACCCCTGTCACCACCCTTGTCACCACCCCTGTCACCACCCTTGTCACCACCCTTGTCACCTCTCTGTCACTCGCCATCTCACTTCCACGCTCTTCCTCTATATCATCACCGCCACCGTGACCACCGTAATCGTCATCATCACCACCATTAACACCACCACCGTAATCGTCATCATCATCACCACCATTGCCACCATAATCACATCACCATGATGATCATCACCACCATCGTTATTTCACGATGTTCCAATGTCCTTGAATCAACGTTGACTTGAAACTTTGACTTGAAGCTGCCGCGATTATATTCGTTATAAAATAATGCAAACGTAACTTCTCATTCGCTTGCGAAAGTATTTTTTTTGTTAAATCTTCGTCCGCCTCCATCCTCATCTTCTTCATCTTCTTCTTCGCGGTTCCGCGACGCGGGAGCGGCGTCGAACTTCGTCTGAGCCGCAGGAGCCCGGCGGGCTCTGTCCGTGGGGACGCCGAGGCAGTGAGAGAGCTGTGGGTGCGAGGCCGTCGTGTGCGCGTGTGCGTCTGTGTGTGTGCGTCTGTGTGTGTGCGCGTGTGTGTGTGCGCGTCTGTGTGTGTGTGTGCGCGCGCGTCTGTGTGTGTGTGTGTGCGTCTGTGTGCGTCTGTGTGTGTGTGCGCGTGTGTGTGTGCGCGTCTGTGTGTGTGCGTCTGTGTGTGTGTGCGTCTGTGTGTGTGTGCGTCTGTGTGTGTGTGCGTTGGTGTGTGCATGTGTGTGTGTGCGTCTGTGTGTGTGTGTGCGTCTGTGTGCGTGTGCGCCTGTGTGTGTGTGCGTCTGTGTGTGTGTGCGTCTGTGCGTCCGTGTGTGTGTGTGCGTCTGTGTGTGTGCGTCTGTGCGCGTCTGTGTGTGTGCGTCTGTGTGTGTGCGTCTGTGTGTGCGTCTGTGTGTGTGCGTCTGTGCGCGTGTGTGCGTGTTTGTGTGCGTCTGTGCGCGTGTGTGTGTGTGCGTCTGTGTGTGCGTCTGTGCGTTTGTGTGCGTGTGTGTGTGCGTCTGTGTGTGTGCGTCTGTGCGCGTGTGCGCGTGTGTGTGTGCGTCAGTACGTGTGTGCGCGTGTGTGCGTCTGTGCGCGTGTGTGTGCGTCTGTGCGCGTGTGCGCGCGTGTGTGCGTCTGTGGGTGTGCGTCTGTGCGCGTGTGCGCGTTTGTTGAACTTCTTTCGCACCCTACACCTTGCTAACTCGAACGTTAAGACGTCGTCACGGCCACCACGGGCGTGCGTGTGTTTGCCTGTCTGTGTGTGTGCGTGTGTGTGTGCGTCTGTGTGTGTATGTGTGTGTATGCGTGCACCTAGCATGGCACCAGCGCCGTGGTGAGGTCACCGCCACTTACTGCTGGTCGACGATTGTCGCGGTGCTGCGTGCTCGTGACGCAGACGCCTCTCGAGCGCTGTACAGATGTACATAGAGAATTACACCGCGGACTTAGCGAATATTAGTGAATAAACACAATTATTGTACTATAATATAATTCATGATGATGACGCTAAAGAAAACAATAACACGTGTTTTAAAGATTATAACTGAACCTATACCGATCGCTGTAAACACATAGTCGGCGCTAATTGTTCGTCCGTCCGGCTGGGAGCGTAAACAATGTTGTTGTTGTTGTTGATCGTTTGTGTCAATCAGAAAACCCTTACTCCGCGAGCAGATGTCGTGTGTAAGAGACGCCGCACACATGTGTTTCATACGTGTCATGTATTATTCTGTACCATATACGATGTTTGTTTTGCACGGCGTGCGCGTGTGTGCGCGTGCTGGGCCTCCCGTAGGTCGACTCAGTCTTAAACGAGTATCTTGGTGCGGCGTGTAAGCGTCGCCAGTAGGGGAGACAAAGGCGGCCGGGCGTGATCATCTGGCCACACCGCATCCTCCTCATAGGTGCTGATACTCGCGAGCAGCACTTGCCCCAACAGTCTGTTGAAGGCTACACGGGGGATCTGTGTCTGTGTGTAATCGTCAAATTCAACGTCACGCATTCCGTCACGTCGTCCTCTACGTTCCGTTGCGAATATGCACGAAAGCAAAGTGTGACATTCGGGAGAGAAAAAAAACCCACAACGACGTTTGTAACACTTCCTTCCACGAAACTTTTGCAGAGTATTCCAATTAAGATTAAAGCCAAATATCTAACTGGTTCTGACTGGAGGAATATCTCGCAACGCACACGCGTAGAAGTGTATTGCTGTTCATGCGTCAGCGCGTGCTTGTGTGTGTACACAGTCACGTGTACACACAGTCACGTGTACACACAGTCACGTGTACACACAGTCACGTGTACACACACACAGAGTCGCGTGTACACACACAGTCACGTGTACACACACACACAGTCACGTGTACACACACGGTCACGTGTACACACACACACAGTCACGTGTACACACACAGTCATGTGTACACATACACAGTCACGTGCACACACACAGTCACGTGCACACACACACAGGCATGTGTACACACACACAGTCACGTGTACACACACACAGTCACGTGTACACACGCAGTCACGTGTACACACACACACAGTCACGTGTACACACACAGTCATGTGTACACACACACAGTCACGTGTACATACACACACAGTCACGTGTACACACACAGTCACGTGCACAAACACACAGACATGTGTACACACACACAGTCACGTGTACACACACACAGTCACGTGTACACACAGAAAAAGTCACGTGTACACACAGTCACGTGTACACACACACACAGAGTCGCGTGTACACACACACAGTCACGTGTACACATACACACCAGCGCTGTACCTTCATCCAAGTGCATTGCGTCGCGAGGTGTCGCATTAAAAATTCGACTGACGCAACTCGATCTAGTCGTCATCGCCGTTATGGATATCGCGGATGTGTCCGACACCACGTGCTTTTTTAAATATTTGCAGGCCGTCATGACCGCTATCACGATTCGTGATCAGTTTGCATTTGCCGCTGTTCGTCGTGCGTAGTTGTGTATAATGTCAATGTTTTCAGAATATATACATTTTATACCGGAGGAGGAATCCGATGAGCTATAAAGCTCTTTGACACAGATGTCCAGTAGGGTCAGCACGTTACAACAACAAACACGACAGAAACACGATCGGAGTTGCAAATTATAGGAAGCGTACAAAAACGTACAACTCGACTTTAAAAAAAAAATGTTTACCTGTTGAAGCCCACTGTGACACACACGTGTTGTCACGCCGTGTGACACACAAGTGTGACACACACGTGTTGTCACGCCGTGGGACACTCACGTGTTGTCACGCCGTGTGATACACACGTGTTGTCACGCCGTGGGACACACACGTATGACACACACACGTGTGACACACACGTGTGTGTGTGATACACACGTGTTGTCACGCCGTGTGACAACACAGCGTGTGACACACACACACGTGTGTGACACACACGTGTGTGACACACACGTGTGATACACACGTGTTGTCACGCCGTGTGACACTCACCCGCACCGATTGGCGCCGTGCGTCAGCTCCACGGCAATGTCGCAGAAGCCCCAGCAAGAACAACAACAACAACAACAATGTTTTCATAACTCTTGTCCGACGTTTCGCAGGAGTTCGGCTCTCGCCCGACTCGCTTGGACCTGTGCCGGCCCTGTCGAGTGCCGGTGAAGGGTTGTAGTTAAACGTTGACATTAAACCTGCACGATGTAACAACCAAAAACCAACTGCTTATGAATTGACATCACAATGTGTACGTGTGTGTGCGTGTGTGAACATGCGCACGCGAGTTGTGTGTTGAGGGGCTGCAGTGTCGCGCTAGTGGTTAGCGCACTGCGCAACGTTCCCTGCCCACACGAGTTCCTTTCCAGCTCACGGACGAGTAACAGTGGCGAATTTGCGAACCGGTTCTGGGCTATTCCCTCGGTCGACTCGTCCTTACGGCAAGTAAGTACGCGGTGCGGTCTGCGTTTAAACAACAGCATTGTGGGGAAGACAAAGGCGGCCGGGCGTGGTGGTTGGTCACCCGCCCCCCTCGTGTGCCAATGTCGCCGCCGTGATAGGTGCTGCTAACAGAACTTCGCCAACCAACAAGCCCGTTAAAGGCTGCACGGGGCATCTTTGTATTTGCGCGTGTACATATATACATACACATACGTGTGCGTATGTGCGAAGTGTTCTACACGCGTGTGGAGTGTTCTACACGTGTGTGGAGTGATGATCGCAATATCGATTTGCCGTTTAGGGAGGCAGAGCGCGTGGGTTCGATCCCGACCCGATATTTGGAGTTTGAATTTTCTCTCTCTCCCCCATGGTCGCGGAGGACACGCATGTGACATCACGAGAATTTGACCTGCGCTACATTTCCACGTGATGATGATGATGATAAGCTGTCGCTTGGCTGAGCTACCATTTGTGACCGGGTCGCCGCTTCTGGTTGGGCTGATTGCCCATGCATCGGCGCTGCGATCTGCCAACTGGACACTGCGGTGTCTTCGGCTCTCAACAAGTCGCTTAGACGGTCACGCAGATTAATGCCGACGTTACGACTTCTAAGATTGTTCACGCTCAAGTGAAATGTTAATGGTCTCTTAGCCAATCCACTGCTGGATGGTACACCGCGCGGTGACCATACTTCACCGCGCCGGTCACTTCGCTGCCGTGAATGGGTGAGGCACAGGGAGCAGTTGTGATATTTTTCGCCTCTTACGTCTCGTGCCAGATTTCATTCACCGTGGCTGGGAATTGAACTCAGAGCCCTAAGGTTTCGGAGCGTCGTGCGCTAACCGCTGCGCCACCGCTCCGGAGGGAAAAAAAAATATCGTAATCACATTACATGAAATATCACGCGGTACAAATGTTGTTTGTAACGAGCCATAACATGTGAAATTGATACACATCATAGCAACGGTGCGTCCGTGAACATGTGTGTGTGTGTGTGCGTTGACGGGACATAGCGATACATATCAACACATGTCGGACACCCACGCACACTGGCGCACCACAGCCGAGCAGCTGTTTGTGTTGAACGCGGTACGCGCAGATACCGTGCGCAATTAACCATTGTCGAAATGCCCGCGTACATTTAGCGAATTCACGTCTAGAGATGCGTGTGCCGTGCCGCTAACAACACTTGCCCCAACAGTCTGTGAAGGCTATCTTTGTCTTTGTTTATGTTGTCTGTGTGTCCACGTGTGTCTCATTGCCTGTCTCTAATTTCGAGACGACTTTACAGATTTTGCCCTCCTCCAGAAAAAAAAAACTTAGCCGACTACAAACTCAAACAAACACATGAAGTGATCGCTTGTACACAAGTGTTGATTTATTCTACGCATTTGTTTATAAACAAAACTGAAAAGCAGCTTACTCCCACCACCACATCGGCGTGTGTATATGCGCACACACACACACATGCGCGCGCGTATATACACATCTATACGAACTACATCGAGTGTGTACGTGTATATAACACATGTATTTGTTATATATATATAAATTGCTTGTAAATGTGTGTGTGTATATATATATTCTGGTACGTGTAAAGTCCATAGGCGTATATATATACATATATATGATATTGTAAAT